ATTTATAGCTATTGAATAGAGCTGTTCAGGGCCTGTAGATCATCTATACTCTACTGTCACTAGATGATGGTTATCAATAACAAAGTAATTCAAAAAAAAGATATGAATTCTATAATAATATAGTTTGCATGAATTTGTATCAATACTTTCCGTGGAAGTCTATAACGGTCTAAGATAAGAATGACAATGATAACATATACAAATAAAAGTGATAGTCTAGTCGAATTAGTAAATTCATATGCCTATCTCGATTGAACCTCAAAATGAATATTTTATATAAAACGTATAGAAATTTTTAATTATTTTATTAGCCATTTTCGTCATAAACTTCCTACTCTGTAGCGTAGAGTAGAGTTAGGATAAGAAAATTTTCTTTAGACAGGATATCCACAGTGTTTCATCCAGCGTAGGGACGGCACTTCTCCGAACATCGGGTTGACCTTTCCGGATTTTTTAGTTATTATACCATGTCCTATGCTCCTAATAATATATACTTGCCTTCATAGGGCCTTAAATCGCTTCTTCGGAAGGAAAAAACTAAATACGCAGTACGAAAAAAACTTCTTTCATATAAAAAAATCATCTTCTACTTCTGATTTTCTTACTTGATTGTGAATAAAAATAGCCAAACGGTTTTTTGGATAAGTCAAATTCAAAATTTTTTCAAAATATTCTCGAAGAAATGGTGTTGGATATTCAATAAATACCGCAATATAAACTAATGGCCATTGTTGTTGCTAAATAATCGAAAAAAATAAATAAATATTATGAAAATAATGAAAAACATACATCTTCAATTTTAGTTAAATTTATAACATTTTCTTTACATTGTAAACATCCAGAAGTTGGTAACCATACACGAGCGATATAATTACTTAAATAATTCAAAGCTTTCTATAGAAAGAAAACATAAACACATTAAAAAAAAAAAAAAGAGAAAAATTGAAGAAATCATATTCTACTTTAGCTGGCCCATTGCCATGTATAACAATTGGATTTGAATCTGTCCATGAATTATGTACATAAACTTCATCATCACGAACTGGTATTTCAATTTCATCAGCAGCACCATTTAAATTCATAAAAATATCTGCTCGTTTATCAAGTACAATCGACCATTTTGTCTAAATTAAAATTTTAAATTTGTATATATTTAATTCTATATTTTACTCGTGTAGTTTCATCAAGAAAAATTTTTGTATAAAATAATTGATCATCATCATCATCATCAATTTTTTCTTTACTTGATATTATTTCATAAATATCCGATGCATAACCAATAAAACCACCTGAATTTAAAAAACGTTTTTCATTACTTTCAACCAATGGATAATCATACTACAAAAAAAAAGAAAAAAAAATCATTAAGAAATTCTTTCATATATTTAAAAGAAAAAGAAAGAAAAAGAAAAAATATCCATTTTTACTTGTAAATTTTGATCTGGCCAACAAAAATCTTCTGCACCAAAAACAACTCGTGCTGGTTGTAATGTTTCAAATTTCTTAAGTAAAACTTCAGGTGATTGAGTAAATATAACATCGTATGCATCAGAAAAAAGTATTAATTTTGTTTTATCATCTTTATAACGAACTAAATTTTCTCGAAGTATATTTATTTTTTGTCCACCACCAGATGTATATTTTATATTACCACCTTTCCATGATTGACCAAGGCCATAGATCTAAATAAATATAAATATGAAATGAAATGTATTTATTAAGATCAAATAGAGATATGCTGGATAAACTTGTTTTCATACATCTCAGTATGTATTTTATCCAGATTTTCTCTTTTGCAGAGGCGTCATCCCTTTAGTCCTCATGCTGGATAAAACACTACTCTGTACTCTGTTTGAGAAAACTTTTTCTATCCTTAATCTATTCCACTCAGATTATTCTGATTTTTCCATTGAAAAAATATTAAAGTATAATGCTTTCGTCAACAATGTTCTGTCACTTAAATTTTGTTGGTGTTTTTTGAAAATAGAAACTGAGTAGCTTCCAGTTCAATTCCACGAAATGAGCTGTCCGAAAAGTTTTGTTCTATTTTGCAAGCGGTATTTCAGCAACCAATCAAGTATGTTTCGTTTCCATAAGTGTCTTTCTCAAAAATTGCCGTTTTCAGATACTTATTTTTCTATTTCGTGTATCATGGAAGGATGATATCTTTTGTACGATTAATCTGTCCCAGGAATGGCCATACCACCTTCTGAATATCAATTTCTTAGTGAATCGATTGATATTGGTTTATTAAACGAATCTGTTACATCCACACTTTCTGAACTTGTCAACCTTTATTCGAGAATCCTTTCATGTCCGTTGAATATTCTCTCGGTGATATATCAAATAATGATCTCGCTAGAATGCTAATTTTTCCTACTACTCACGTAGACCTTCTACACTAGATTCGCGTTAGAGGTGTGCAGGATAAGTTTCTTTTTCAAATATTTATTCTGTCCTATAAGATGAAATAATCCTACACACGTCTAAGATATCATAGAACACATAAAAGATTCGGAAAAGATCGCACATCTGTTTTGAAATCTAAGTTTTAGTTCCTATTGTTGACATTAATCCGTATAATTTACTGGTGACATCTCATTACATACTATAAAGTTTTATTGAACTACTATTATTTATACCTCATATTTATATCCATAAACATTTAATGAACGAATAAAACGATGATAACCATCTGTTTCATTTGTAGCAACCGAGACAACAAGTAGATCATCTAAATCATAAAATACTTTATATAACTAAATTAATCAATCAACTTAACAATATTACCTTTACTAATAGCACGAATTGGATAAGTAAATCCTACTAATAATAGAACAAATAATTGTTCTATCATTTTCCTAAAAATACACGCAACAATTTTGTTCGGTTACTGGGATGTTGCAGTATCTCCGGCTAAGTATCTATTTTTAGCTATAATCAATCGATCGATCGCTACAATCTACTTTAAAATTCTTTTATCTACTCATTCTTTCTAATTTCTGAAAATTCCTATTATTCCAATCTCTATATAAAATTTGATTAATTAATATTTTTAATACAATCCTATATCAAAATGCATAAATGCATTAAATAATTAAATTTTCTGATCATCATAGAGGATATGTCGTTGCTATTCATTCATTCATCCATTGATTTATTTTCATTTGTCAAAAAAAAAAAAAAAAAACATTCTCTTATTCACGTTCATTGTTTTTTTTAGATCGACAAAATTTAATCGTCATTTTCTTTATTCATTTTCTATACAAATTCTTTAACAATGAGTGAAAGTTCAGATCAACAACAACAACAGCAATTAGAGCAATTAAAATTAGAAACTTCACAACAAACAACAAACGATAAATTATGGACCGATCAAGGAATAAATGAAAATATTGTACAAAAAATTCGTTTATGTATTGAAAATGGTATTAAAAAAAAACAAAATATCTAAATAAATACAATTTAAATTTTTTTTTATTTAGGTAAATTACTTTCACCTGATATTGATAGTCGTGTATGTGAACAATTACGTTCATTTCCTAATGATATGACAAGTATTGATTCTTTATTTAATGAATTTAATAATTCGGATTTAACTGGTGTTGTTAATAAAAGTGCTTTTTTATGTAATTTAATTAAACAATGGAAAATTCAACATCCACAAGAACAAAAATCTTCAAATACAAATTCACAATCAACACAAGATACAGACGATCAAGGAAGTAGTTCTGGTAAACATAAACCAGGTCCAGATGAAGCTAAACTTAAAGTAAGAACCTCAAAAAAAAACGCGCAATTTGTAAAAAAGAAAACGTTTTTCTTTAATAGCAAATCCTTGATCGAACAGGATATAAAATAGACATTACGGCTGGTCAACGTAAATATGGTGGTCCACCACCTGATGGTCCCGAACGACCAGCTCCAAATAGTGAAGTATGTTATTAAAATATATTTGTCTTTGTTTAAATTAACTCGATTGTTATAAAGGTTTTTATTGGTAAAATTCCACGTGAAGTATTTGAAGATGAACTCATTCCAATATGTGAAGAAACTGGAAAAATATGGGATTTACGTTTAATGATTGATCCAGTATCCGGTTTTAATAAAGGTTATTGTTTTGTTACATATTGTACTCAAAGTGATTCCGCTAAAGCATGTGAGAAAGTATGTTTAGTTTTTCTTTTTTTTTAAGTTTATGAATGTTTAAAAATAAATACTTTTATAGCTTAATGGTTATGCTATCCGTCCAGGAAAACTTTTAAAAGCAAATGGTAGTATTGCTAATCTTCGTTTATTTATTGGTAATATACCAAAAACAAAGTCAAAAGAAGAAATTCGTGAAGAATTATTAAAAGTTGTTGGTAAGATATAATAAGAAAATCGGTTTTTTTTTATATTGAAGTTTTGGTTTATTTAGAGGGTGTAACAAATATAATTGTCTATACGCCAGCTGATGAAGCTGATAAGAAAAAAAATCGTGGATTTTGTTTTGTGGATTTTGATACACATAAAAATGCGTCTGTGGCAAAAAGAAAATTAGGAAATGCTCGTGTTCGAGTAAGAAGAATATAAAATGATCATCTTTTTTTATAATGAAATTTATTCATGATTTCCTTGTTGGCGACGAATATGTTGCTGTACTAGCTTGTTGTTTGCTAAGGGCGAGTCCTCGTCTTTCTTAGTCTTCTTGCTAACGTATATTAGCAAGACGATTGAAAAAGACACATGAAAGCAAAGGCTTCATAAGCTAATATAGCCACTTTTATTTATGTATTTTTTGTGACTAGTAAGCAAAAATTCTCATTGAAATTATAATTTTAGGTATTTAATCGTGATATTGCTGTTGATTGGGCTGATCCAGATGAAGAACCTGATAATGATACAATGTCACAAGTTAAAGTTTTATATGTACGAAATTTAACATCAGATGTATCAGAAAATGATGTTAAAGATATATTTTTACCCTATGGAAATATTGAACGTGTACGCAAAGTTCGAGTAAGTTTTTCAATATATTTAAAATTATTACAAAAAAAAA